GAGCATTGACCCATGCACCAAGAAGTCGCTGGTTCAATTCCTGGTCAGGGCACATGCCCAGGTTGTGGACCTGATCCCCAGTGGAGGGTATACAGGAAGCGACCACTCAGTGTTCTCTCTCATGTTTCTATCTCTCCCTCTCTCTTCCTCTCTCTCTAAAAAATAAAAAAAAGTGGGTGTACATATATACAATGGAATATAACTTGGACATTAAAAAAAGAATAAGCCGCCCTGGCTGGTTTGGCTCAGCGGTTAGAGCGTCGGCCTGCGGTCCAGAGAGACCTGGGTTTGGTTTCCACTAAGGGCATGTACCTCGGTTGCAGTTTGTCCCTGGTTCTGGTTGGGTCATGCAGGTGGCAGCCACTCGATGTGTCCCTTTCACGTCCATGTTTCTCTCTCTCTCTTCCTCTCTTTCCCTCCCGCTCTATCTGAATAAAAAATGGAAAAATGTCCTCAGGTGAGGATAAAAAAATAAAAAGAATAAGCCCAGGCCAGTTTGGCTCAGCGGTTAGAACGTCAGCCCGCGGACCAGTCCCTGGTTCAGTTCCTGCTAAGGTCACATACCTTGGTTGCAGACTGTCCCCAGCCCCCGTGAGGGTCATGTGGATGGCAACCAGTCAATATGTCTCTTTCACTATGACGTTTCTCTCTCTCTCTCTTCCCCATCTCTCCCTCCCACTCTATCTGAAGATAAATGAAAAAAAAAAAAAAAAAAAGTCCTCGGGTGAGGATAAAAAAACAAAACAAAAATAATGGCCCTGGCCGGTTTGTCTCAGTAGTTGGAGCATCGGCCTGCGGTCCACAGAGACTTGGGTTCGGTTCCCACTAGGGGTGCGTACCTTGGTTGCAGTTTGTCCCCAGTATTAGAAGGTATTAAGCTAAGAAAAATAAGTCAGAGAAAGACAAATAGTACATGATTTCACTTATATGTGGAATCTAAAGAACAATATAAATGAACAAACAAAAGAGAAATAGACTTATAGATACAGAGAACAGACTGATGTTTGCCAGAGGGGTAGGGGTGGGGTACTGGGTGAAAAAGGTGAAAGGATTAAGAAGCACAAATTGGTAGTTGTAAAACAGTCCTGGGGATGTAAGATACAGCATAGGAAATATAGTCAATAATATTGTGCTCCCTCCCACTCTATCTGAACAAAATATAGAAAAATGTCCTCGGGTGAGGATAAAAAAATAATAATAATATTGTAATAACTATGTATGGTGCCAGGTGGGTCCTGGAAATATCAGGGGAAACATTTTGGAAAGTATATGATTATCTAACTACTATGATGTACACCTGAAACTAATACAAAAATAGTATTGACTGTAAACTATAATTGAAAAATAAAAAAATTAAAATTAAAAACAAACAAAAAACTAGTCTTCCATGTAGACTTTTCCCAGGTAGTTAACCTCCCCAGGTGCAAATCACAGAGTTAGCCATAAAGGTAGAATAGTCAGGGTATCTTCTGGACAGTATGAACAGTGGAGCCAGGATGGTATTGTTATCAGAGAAATGTGTGGATTGTCTTTCTTCATTACTAGTGGGAGTGGGGGTCCTTATGATATCTAGAGAAAAAGAATTTTCTAAGACTCACGTGGGAGGATGAAATGGTGAAAGATGTGCAGCTGGGGATTAAGTGAAACTAGAAGCAAAGCCAGTATCTGAAGTTTCCATTCCACGTTGCAGCTGGGTGTGGTTTAGCATTAAGCTAGTTGCAGTCCATTAGTCCACTGTGTGTGGGGTCCACATGGCCGTGAGCCATGTGGGTGAATGCAGTAGGATAGGAGCCCCCGCAAGCCAGGAGCCCTGTGCAACACGCCAAGAGGCAAGAGAGCAAACCCCTTTGTTTAGGAGATTAAATATGTTAAATCTTCCCGCAATTGAAGTGGCCACGCCTACTCTGCCCAATGACCTGTTCCCAGGTATGACTGATAGGTAAGTTCTTTCCCTATTTTCAGACTTTACTGGGTGTGCATCTACACTGCAGCTTCCTAGCAAAGCTGCACAAATGGCATGACTATACTATTTGGCCTTCCCTTCGCTCTTTTCCTAGGTGGAATTACAATGGTATCATTATGAGGAAGAAGATTGTCACAACAGAGAATTCTGATTTGGTAAGACTAATGTGGGGCCACAGGCAGGCAAAATTTTCAAAGCCCCCCCATTTAATTCTGGTACTAACCCCTTGTTGACATGCAAAGAAAAAGAAATCTCTGGACCTATAAAAACATTCTGAAATTCAAAAGTAAGGAACCACCTAGAAAATGTGTCAACAAAGTTTTGTTTTGTTTTTGTTTGTTTTTTTAAGAAGGCAGATAGTAAATATCTTGGGTTTTGCAGGCCATACCGTCTGTGGCAACTAGACAGTTGCATTATAGTATGAAACAGCAATTGCTGCCTTTACAGGGCAAAAGCAGCCATTGATGCTACATAAATGAAGGGCATGGCTGTATTACAATACAATTATTTACAAAAACAGGTAGCTGAGAGCTGTGGTTTACTTACCCCTGACCTGGAATAATCAGAGGAGTGGCCCCCCCTAAAGTAAATTCACTACAAAACAAACGTTTAGAAAATTTTCCAATTTTTATTCTCAATAAGATCCAAGAATAAATTGCATTTATGACAACAAAATAAACATTCATAAAAATCAAACAATCTGAGAATTTACATTAGATTTAAAATATAATTACTAAATTTAAAATTGCACTGAATACAGTAAACAACAAAGTTGGAAGTAAAGTTGGTAAAGCAGAAGCAAACAGAAATTTAATCAAAATAAAGAAATAAAGGATCAGTGGGGGGGTGTGATATGAGAATAAGGAATAAATGCATGGAAGAAAGAGATGTTAATAAGAATTCTTAAAAGGGAAAGTAACTTGTGGAAAAGAGGGAATAATCAATTAAATGAAAAAAAAAATCTTTCTTAAATCAACAAACAAGTGCTGGTAAGGATGTGGAGAAAACAGAACTCTTGTGCACTGTAGGAATGCAGTCTGGTGCAGCCACTGTGGAAAACAATATGGAGTTTCCTCAAAAAGTTAAAGATGAAACTGCCTTTTGACCCAGCAATCCCACTTCTGGAACTATATCCTAAGAATCACAAAACACAAATTAAAAGGAATATATGCACCCCTATGTTCATCACAGTGCTATTCACTATAGCTAAGATCTGGAAATGGTCCAAGTTCCCATCAGTAGATGAGTGGATAAAAAAGCTGTGGTACACCCTGGCCGCTTTGGCTCAGTACTTAGAGCATTGGCCTGCAGACCAGAGAGTCCCAGGTTCGGTTCCGGCTAAGGGCATGTACCTCGGTTGCAGTTTGTCGCCGGCCCTGGCTGGGGTCATGTGGGTGGCAGCCACTCGATGTGTCTCTCTCACGCTGATGTTTCTCTCTCTCTCTCTCCCTCTCTCTCTCTCTCTTCCCCCTCTCTCCCTCCCACTCTATGTAAAGATAAATGCAAAAATGTCCTCAGGTGAGGATAAAAAAATAAAATAAAAAGCAGTGGTACATTTACACAATGGAATATTATGTGGCTGTAAAAGGAAGGAACTCTTACCTTTTTCGACAGCATGGATGGACTTGGAGACTATAATGCTAAGCAAAATAAGCCAGTCAGAGAAAGACAAATACCATATAATCTCACTTATATGTAGAATCGACTGAACAAAATAAGTTGATGAACAAAATAGAACCAGCGACGCGGATTCATGGTACAGACTGAACTATGTCAGAGAGGAGGTGAGTAGGGCAGATGGCATGACAGAAGGTGAAGAGAAGAGCCAAAGAGCACATATGCATAGCCCATGGACACAGACAACAATGTGGTGAGGGCCAGAGGGAGGGGAGGGCAGGGTCGGGGTGGATGGGGCACGAGAGGGGAAAGAGGAGGATATCTATAATTTAGCATGAGTAGGGAGTAGGGCACATATCAGATAAAACAAGATAGTCCATGTGTTGATAATTGTTGAAGTTGAGGGATGACTACTGTTCTTTCTACATTTGGAAGATGAGAACTATTTTTTCTATTTTTATAAATTTCCATGAGAAATAGAATTTCAAGTTATTATGGGCTTTTCATAATTATGATATAATACGGGTGTTAATGTTTTAATTATCACAATAAAGCACAGTGCTCACTCCAGCAGCACATATGAGGCAGGATAGCAAGAAGCTAGGAAAAGGCCCTGGCAAGTGGAATGGGGAGACGGAGACAGCTAGCTGAACAAACTGGCCGAGCCATTTACAGCCACATACGGAAAGTCACCAGGGTGGAAAGCCTCAGATGCCTAGTAACCGGCCAAATTTGCCTCCAGGGTGGCCATTCCTCCCCTGGCATATCGCTGGTCATGCACTTTAGACTCTCTGACCTTCCATATCACTGGCGGTTCAGTTTAGATCACCACCTGACCTTTCCTCCCTAGTGATAACATCTAGGCCTCAGCTGTATTTCAGCTCCAGGCCCAGAAAAACAGCAAAACCAGGTGAGGGAAGCCAGGACCAACTGCAATAACTAATGACCTAGGGCTGACCAATCAGTGGAGACCACAACCCTGAAAGGGTACACCTGAAGAGCTGATAAATATTCTATTGAGATCCTTCCCTAAGAATCCCCTAAACTCCCAGCCTTTAAAACCCTCAAGACGAAGGACCCAGTGCCTTTCCCTTCCTTCCCCTTCTTCCCTTTCAGGAGTGCACCTCCTAAATGCTAAGGATCCCCATGAGACTTGCAACCAGGACAGCACTGGCAGCTAATCTGGGGCCCAAGGTCCCCTTTGTTCTGACTCTCCAGTAAGCCCCTCCTTGACTCACTTCTTTCCCACAATGTGTCTAGGGAGCCAAAGCAGCCCCGCCCAGTCTCCTGTTGCTTCTTCTATCCTAGGCCCTTCTTGTTTCACTGTCCCCCGCTTTAATACACATATTCTCAATCACCTTGTCAAATCTTTCCTGCACAAAGTCAAGAGCCCACACACTACAGACCGGCTCTGGGCGCAGTTTCTGTCCAGTAACACATAGACTAAAACTGGAATAATACAGAGAAGGTTAGTATGGCCCCTGCACAAGAATGACATGCAAATCTGTGAAGCATTTCCTATTTTTTTTAATAATATTTAAAAAAATATATTTTTTTAAGCTGGAGGGAGAGAAGGGGGAAGAGAGAGAAACATCGATGTGAAAGGGACACATTGAGTGGTTGCCAGCCACACAACCCCAACCGGGGCACAGGACAAACTGTAACCGAGGTGCGTGCCCTTAGTAGGAACCGAACCTGGTACTCTCTGGTCCACAGGCCGACGCTCTAACCGCTGAGCCAAACCAGCCAGGGCAATATTTTTAAATTTTTTAATAAAGCACAAAGAAACGTGGACAAAAAAGGGGCCACATGCTAAACCTGACAAGCTCAGGGGAGGCCTGCATTGGTGGGCCTTACAAACTCAAAGACTGACAGTAACCTAACTGAAATAGAGTCATGGCAGATAATCATGTCCTAAATCAATATCTTCCTTGACAAAGGTCAATGTTTACCTTAACTGTGCTAGTCTATTGTCTTTTTTGCATCTATGATAACATACATTTGGAATGTCAGAGTAATTCCCTTTTTTCCAGATCCCCCAGAGCACAATTTCCCAATAGAGCACAGAACCCCTCATTGTTATCTTGTTCCCAGAACACCATCTCTAAGTGCTACAAATGTTAATTGTTAACTATCCTGTACCCACCAACGTAAAAGAAAGAAGTATGTGTCTCTTTGTTTTACTCTTTATTCAATCTCAGAGATTTCCCTGCTTTGCTTTCTCCCGCCTCCCTAACCTATCACCAAATAATCTCATGTAACCCCCCTTACATCTCCTCCTTTGATTCTAATGTATGAAATAAACTGCAAAACTGCCATTCTCCAGAGCATTCTCTCAATCCTTTGAGATATATTTTTTTAATCCTCATCCAAGGATATTTTCCATTGATTTTTTGATAGAGTAAAAGGGCAGGAGACGGGGGAGAGAGAGAGATAGAAACATTGATCTGAGAGAGACAGCGACTGGTTGCCTCCCACATGACCCCTACCAGGGCCGGGGATCTAACGCAACCAAGGTACATGCCCTTGACCAGAATCAAACCTGCAACACTTTGGTCTGAGGACCGACGCTCTAACTGTTGAGCCAAACTGGCTCAAATAAACTTATAAAAATTATCTACAGGTTTAGACATTTCTTACATAAACAGAAGAAATAAAAAACCTATAATCCCATGACCCGGATATTACCCCTGTCAATATTTTCATTATTTATCCTTCTCATATGTTTTCTCTAATCACATATGTGTTTATAATTGAGATCATTTTACACATACTGCTTTGTATCTTGCTTTCCTTGTTTTATATAATGGAAATATCTGTACTCTCTAACTACATTTTAACTTAAGTTCAGTAAAAAAATGTGTTGACATCCTAAAGGCCATACACAGGCTTATTATGATTTTTCAGCTATACTTCAATTAATATGGTAGAGAAAAATTTAAATATACTGTAACGCAAAACTTAAACATCATAAGTATACAAGGACAACTCAGGAATTAGAATATGGTGCCTTCAACAGAAGTAAGATTAAGGAAATCGGTGTACTTGAGTGCAAACAATTAAAATCAACCTCGGCTAACATAAGCAGAGATAACTTTATTGGAAGGGTTTTGGGCAGCTCACAAAATCTGTGAGAAGCCTGGAGAAGACTCAGAAAATGGGCGGGAGCCAAGGAAGCCTTGCAGCGAGAGCCACAACCCAGACACCACCAAGGAACAGATGCTGAGAGAGGTCACACACAGGAACCGACTGACACGGGACACAACACTATTGCAGATTCTTGCTAGCTTTGCTATTACAAGTAACTCCTAAACTGCTTCTGTATCTCTGTGTTACTTCTCCAGATTCAAGGCCTTGAGCTTCAGTGTCCAAATCCTGGAGCCTAAATAAGGTGCCATTACCCTGGCTGCCCCCAGGCCAGGGAAAGGGAAGATGACTCCTGTTTGGTTTCAGCAGTGAAAGGCAGGTCCCTGCATTCCACACAATAGGGAAGTACCCCTAATCAGGAAGAGAGAGAAGATCCAGTCTTAACATTTATGACCAAAAATTACTATATGATCACTACCTAATCCTTGACTTTTAATATTTTTCTCTAAATTATGAGACAATACTTGCTCCTAATAGCTTTATTGATACATTGTAAAGATGAATGGTTTCGTATCTGCTAATGACTCTGAACACCTGAGGAGAAAAATGTATTATAAATACAAACTATTTTAATCAAGGAAACTATAATTAGTAAAGATCATAATATCTGCTGAGCTTCAGACACAGATCACAATAAATGTTACCAAGTCAAAGATACTGGAAATTGTCTTCAGGTATTTGCTCTAACAACAGTACTATACATAAACTTAATTCTTAAAATTACATTAATTTTGAGTTAATTTTTAAAACTTTGTTCATATAAAATACAGTTCCAAGGCTTGGAATTAGAGAGGAGAAGATGCATAGGCTGTTCAGTTGGTCGGATCTGTTACATTAATTTCACAATCTGTGAAGGAGTGGATTGCCCCCTTGAATGGTAATGGAAAATTAGTTTCTTTATTTCTTCATTAAGACTGTGGGAGGAAAATTAATACTCTCGTTGGTTTTTCCAAATTAATAGAATATGTCTTTATTAAAATGATGAATGTACATCTACTTTTTTTTTTTTTTTTTTTTTTTGGTGGAGAGACATTCTAGCTTGTAGAATAACTGAATTTAAAGCTGAGCCTTGGGCCCTGCCGGTGTGGCTTGGTGGTTGAGTGTCAACCCATGCACCAAGAGGTCGCCAGTTGGATTCCTGATCAGGGCACATGCCCAGGTTGTGGGCCAAATCCCCGGTGGGGTACAGGCAGGAGGCAGCCAGTCAATGTTCTCTCTTATCAATGATTCTCTCTCTCTCTTCCTCTCCCTACTTCTCTCTCTAAAATCAATTTTTTTTTAATTATTTATTTATTTTAAAAAGCTGAGCCTTGGAAATCATCTTGTTAAGGAAACTGAGATTCGGTGAGACTAAATTAGTTACTCAAGATCACACAATTAATAAAAGACAAAGCAAGACTAGAAACCTGGGTCTCTGACTCTTAATCCAGTCTTCAAATTCATCAAACCATTTAAAGCCAGGGAGGGGGGATTCATTTATGCTTCTCATATTGCTAGAGTACATAATGTTTTTGGTTCCTATGCCCTGTGGTGTAATATGTGTGCAGAACACAGAGGAAAGATTTGTGCTAGAAGTATAAATCTGGGAGTTGTCAGCCGATAAGTAATATTTAAAACCATGTAAATAAACATAATCACCTAGAGAGAAAATGTTTTCCAAGAGTGCTCAATAAATGTAAGGTAGTAACAGGTTGAACCACAATTTATTTAACAAATCTTTCCCCCACCTCTTTTTTAAAAATATGTGTTCCTACCCTGCTGGTGTGGCTCAGCAGATTGAGCATAGTCCCATGGACTGAGCAGTCCCAGTTCAATTACTAGTCAGGGCACATGCCCTGGTTGTGGTCTTGATCCCCAGTAGGGGGTGTGCAGGAGGCAGCTGACTGATGTTTCTATCTCTCTCTAAAAAATCAATAAAAACATATTTTTAAAACAGAAAATAAAAATGTGTTCCCAACGTTTTGTGTTACTTACTCATGAATAATTTTTATATTCTCCACAAATATTTGCAACAATTTTTCCTTCCTTCCTTCCTTCCTTCCTTCCTTCCTTCCTTCCTTCCTTCCTTCCTTCCTTCCTTCCTTCCTTCCATGTGCCCCTAGCGGGAACCACACCCGGGACTCTCTCTTCTGCAGGCCAATGCTCCAACCGCTGAGCCAAACTGGCTAGGGTATCAACAATTTTTTTTCTAATAGAAAACAGCTTTTTAAAAAAAGAGGCCTACTTACACTAGACTTTGATTCTCAAAGTCAAGCCGATAAAGTAACTCTATATAGTAAAGAAGAAAAGAGGAGGGAAGCAGGGCTAAGTGCTGTGGGGAAGGTCAGAGAGATGATCTCTGCTCGGCACTGTGGAGAAAACAGAAAACATCTGTCGACTGATGCACCAAGAGGTCGCCAGTTTGATTCCTGCCCGGGCACATGCCCAGGTTGTGGGCCCAATCCCCAGTGCGGGGCATGCAGGAGGCAGCCAATCAATATTCTCTCTCATCGATGTTTCTAGCTCTCTCTCCCTCTTCCTTCCTCTCTTTAAAATCAATAAAAAGAAAAAAAAATTTTTTTAAAGAAACATCCAGTGGGGAATTTATCAAATTTGTTGAGTGTTTTTCTTTTTCTTTTTTCTTTTTTGTCTCTCTTCCATCTCCCCTACATAATCTTCAGTAAATTCGACATTGCTAACTAAATGGTTTTTATGCACGTGAGCTGATGACAAGAAGAGAAACTACACAGCCAGTAACTGGGCTATGTTTTTGGTTTTGTTTTTATTGTCAATGCAATAAACATCTTTGGACCTATATCTTTGCATATGTTTAGGATAACTTCCCTTGGCATAAATTTCTAGACACTGGAATAAAAAGTATGGGCCATTTTAAAAATCTTTTTATACATATTGCCAATTGCCCTCCAGAAAAGTTGAACTAATGTACCACCAGCAGAGTATTAGGATGTTCATTTCCTCACACATACACTTTAATCTTTATCAAATTAATGAGGGAAAATGGAACTCACTTTTTTTTTTTAATCTTCACTCAAGGATATTTTTCTATTTATCTTCAAATAGAGTAGGAGGGAGAGAGAGAGAAACATTGATGTGAGAGAGGCACATCGATTGGTTGCCTCCCACACAACCCCAAACAGGGCCGGGGACCGAATCGCAACCGAGATACATGCCCTTGACTGGAATCGAACTCGAGACTCTTTGGTCTGTGGGCTGATGCTCTGATGCTATTAGCTAAACCAAACCTCTAATGGCTTTATCACACCACCCACTAAATTTTTTTTTTTAAGTGTTTTTAATCCTCACCCAAAGATATGTTTTTTTTTTTTGATTCTTTAGAAAAAGAGGAAGAGATAGAGAACGAGAAATATTAATGTGATAG